GCAAAGTTATTCCTTAATAATCTTTGTTCCATTGTAGTTCATGAATTAAACCTAAGTTATAAGATATTTTCCATCAAGAAACTACATCGTCTATAAAATTATAACAAATAGATAAATATTTGATTTTATAATTTAAGCCATGAACTCATTTTAGCTGGATCATTATTGGAGATCTGGAAGCACTGAACGACCGTATCGTCCAAGCATTAGGTTTCTCAGTTGTGTGCACCTACAACTCCGCATCTGAGGACTGAAATTGGGGATTTTGGCTTAACGCGCAAAGGCCCAACCTCTGGACCACTAAGCTGGGATTTATTGGTGAATATGTCTAAATTCAATTAATTTATGATACTGTACAACTCATATTCATTATCTGTGATAGATAATTATCTGACATTCGATTTGGTTGAACTTCACTAGTCACTCCAAGAGTTGCATCTTGAATCTGGTCACTAGTGATTAATGTTAGTATACGGAGTAGAGTTTGTAGAGATTTTAGAATCTTTACGGTTTGAATTATGAACTGATCTTGGCTCCTTAATTGTCAGCCCATTTTCATTCAAATAGATCGGATAATGCCATTTGGCACTACTTGAAATATTTCACTTAACAAAAATTAATTGTTTCTTTACAAAGTAATTTGATCTTATCATTAAAGTTTAGTAATATATAGAGTGTTTGAGTTTTTAACTTTATTATCCTATAATTAAATTCCGTAACAAGTCATTTTATCCTGTTTTACACTTGCCGTTTATTTCATCCATTCTAAATATTTGATTTTATGATGCACACCTAACAACAACTGATCATTACATCAATCCATTCGTCACACAGAACAAACTATATAACCTTCTTACTCCCTATAAAAACTTTACCCGGTTAGGCTGTTAAATAATTTAATGTTAAATCTATTCGATCCTAAATCATTTTGTATTCTTTTTCTTTTATCTCATTATCAAGTTAGTCTAGTTAGACCACGATATAAGCCTAGAAAGTATATAATATTACATTAGATTAGAATATCTAATAACTGGATTAGGATGGAGCTTACACACTAGTAAGCCTGAAAAAACCCCACCTGATTCAGTTTATATCTCACAAGCTTTCTAAAAATAGTAGCGACTAAATGACTCTGAAGACAAAGGCTACAGGGGAGATCAATAAGTATCACGCAAGATTGTTGAAATCAGTATTCACGAAAATAAGTTCACCAACTTATACATAGTATACAGAGATAAGTAAGTTGACGAAATAATTTGTTAGTTGGGAATGGGAACTGTGATTTGCTCTAACATTGCTAAGAACTGACGCAAATATCATTATCTGATACAATAAAATGTTATGATACACATTAGTAAGTATGTTATTGATAGAATATTATGAATATATAAAATTCTGCTAAATTATTGTCAGATGAGAATACAAACTACATCAGAAATATGAGCGACTTCTCGTGCAGTCTTCAATTAATCACTGTCAAAGTAGTGTTTGTACTCATTAAATCACAAAAGTGATTACTTCTGAAGTAATGATATTGGAATACATTTTTCGAAGTATAACATATGATGAAGTAAGTCAACTGACGATCATTAAAACGTATACAGGCTGAATTCAATGAAACAGCACATTTCAAATAACAGCTAAAGTGAAAACACTGATAAGTAATTATCAGTATATGATTGTGAAGATTATTGAGTTCCGCTGAAATCACGAGTCAATCAATGTCAGACCACCAATGAAAACCTGAAAGCACTGGATGGCCGTTTCGTCCTAGTATGGGACTCCCTAGCAGTGGGCATCCATGACCCCCAAACGGGGCTCAAACTTAGAAAACTCGGTCTAGAGCGCGAATGCTCAACCTTCAGATCACTGGGCCGGTATACAATGGAGTTGATGTCTAACTTCGATTAATGGAAATCGAAGGCCCTGGGTTCGAAGTTCCTACCAGGTTTCGTGTCTGCCCACTGCTGAAGAGTACTATATTAGAACAAAACGTCCGTTCAGCGCTTCTAGGTTTTCAATAGTGGTCATGATTTCAGTGAAACTAAAGAGTGAACTTTTTTAAAATATTTCTTTATAACAGTGATTTAATGGTACAGTTAGATTAATTTATCGTTTATACGAGATAACACAATAATACTAAATGTGATATATGATATACAAGATAATCGGTAGGGCACACCACACCTCTATACTAGCCAGATACACGATTCACGGCTGACAATTAAAAACTTAACCACAAAGACAAAACAGTTAGTTTACACACAATGAATTCAGAGTAGGAATCACATTTACGATATTATTGATTATGAAATGTTTGTTTATTTTCATTCACTCGCAAATCCCAGTCAACTATTACATAACATATCAGACACAGTATCTTAAATTGCACTTAATGCATAGAATGAAATTGCTGACTAAATCCATTAGAATAATGAAACCATTTATGAACTATTATGATTTATTATCAAATCGACTTTACATTTTAGTCTATTCAATGATGGATTTAATTTCTTCAAACTAATGAATCTCATTACCACATAACATTTCATGGAATCATATTTACACAGAATAATAAGATATAATGTAATCTAATGTAAATAATGATAATAATAAACTTTAGACTCATCATCATGAGGGGTAAGAGGCGTAAGTAAGTAAGTAATTCAGTAATACATAACTATAATTAGATGTTGGAATAGCAGAATTATTAATAGTATAAGCGATAGTAGAAAAGATTATTTGTATATTTATTTATTTAAACACATATATATTGTCAGAAGGGGTTTTGTGGAGATCTTAGAAATTCCACTGGTTGAAATCATGAGCCAATTGAAGCTAGACCACCATGGAAAACCTGGAAGCACTGGACTGCCGTTTCATACTATTGTGGGACTCCTCAGCAGTGCGCATCCACGATCCAGTGCTTCCAGGTTTTCCATGGTGGTCTAGCTTCAATTGACTCATGATTTAACCAATGACATATATATTGGTACAAAGGGGTACCGAATACAAGTCTACGGATATACCATACCAACTAGTGCTAAATAGTACAAACCTAAGTCCACAATTTCCTATCAACTGATTCCATCTATTAGGTTTGAATTATATCTTGTTCGAAAGCTTTTAAAAGACAAAAAGAAAGATATTTAACTATTTAACTGAACGAAATTCATGCCATTTTATAAATAAATGGAAGTTGTGTATATTAAGCACTAAATTTCAACTTAATGGTCACTGTATAAACATGAAAATCTTATACGTTATTCTGTTTAAATTTGTTAGGTGAATGCATCATTATAGATAGTAAACAATAAAGGAAAATCTCTTTCTAACATTTCGTAATTTCTAAAAGATTATTTACTTGTTCAAGGTGTATCGGAAAAATCGTTTTAATGATCTTTTATATTCACAGTTGAATTCACGAGTTGATCTAAGCTAGACCATCATTGAAAACCTGGAAATATTGAACAGCCGTTTCGTCCTAGTATGAGACTCCTTAGAAGTGCTCGTCCACGATCCCGCATAAATGATACGAACCCAGAACCTTCGGTCTAACGTGCAAACGCTTAACCTCTAAACCACTGAGTCGGTATCCAACGGTGTTTAATGTCTAACTTCAATCAATTCATGACCTTCCGCAACCCTTCATTTATCCACAAATTCCTATACTGATCATTTTTATCTTAAAATGGTAGGGTCCTTTGTTTTTCGTGCAATAATAAATTTATTCGATTCATAATTTTTTCGTCTTGTAAACACCTGTATTACCTAAATACTATAAAGTTATTTTATTATTTATCCAAGGATAGAAAATATCCATGAAATTACAGCTAATCTACTCTTCAGTGTTCAGTATGTGTGCAATGTCTAGGATCTTTCTGTTCAATTACTGAATGATTGCTACATATAAGAGTATAATTTCTTCTGAGAATTTCACTTCAGTCTCCAAATTTCACTATATTATTTTTTACATTTAACAATTTGGAATACGCTACAGTAACGTCTTCATAGAAGACATATATAAATAGTTTTAGGTGAATGAAATTTACTTATTTATTTGAATACATAAATATTGGTTCAAAGAGGCGACAAAAGTCACTTGATTTATGTGTGGGCTGTCATACTGCTCGCATGCTCAGACAAAATCAGGTGGTTTTCGTAGGTGGCCACTTTGACCTAAAGGTCTGATCCATAAGGCAGTGGAGGAACGTCAGGAGATGCAGTCCAATTGTAACCGATCACAAATAATTGGTTCATACTCCATTTGCTCTCTCAGGATATTGGATCCCATGTACACCATTGGTTTGAAATCAGGGTTTTCAAACTCCTCTAGGTGGATCCTCTATATTCACCAACTTGATTAAAGCACCGGACATTCGCTTTTCGTTCTCTCAATTTCGTAAACAACAGTAATGCCATGAGAAGGCAGTGAGTAGGACTTATTTTATAGTGACTGTGTGAACATTTTGAGAGGGAGAGCTGACTCACCTTAATCTCAACTGTACTAGTGCATTTAAGGGCCTAATGTATAATGAAGCTAATAAGTGACTACGGTTGAAGCTAGTCTATTCAATGATGGATTTAATTACTTCAAACTAGTGAATCTCATTACCACATAACATTTCATGAAGTCATATTCATACAGAATAATAAAGTATAAGGTAATCTAATGTAAATAACAATAATAATGATAATTATAAACTTTATAATCATCTCATATATTGTGTATTATTTAATTTACCATATCGTATTTCAGTAATATTATCTAAATTTACTTTTTTTTCAATTGAGTTCTATACAATTTAATCATTATACATTATCTGCATACAATAGTACTATTTACATATTAGAAAAGGAGAAAAGAAAAGAAAAACAACACTTGTTACTAAGTAAAAATAGAAAAAAAGAAACACACTAAAAGTTTTGTATAAAAGTCTTCGAAGAAACAATTGAGTTATTAGAATATACTACTTAACTATTAAAAAGAGTATTCAATCATGAATAGATCCGTTTGGACTGTTATAACATGTATAATGTTATTAGTTATTATATGTAATTCTAATACAAGTAAGTAAATACTTTTATGATGTATTAAGTGTTTTAAATTCATTTGATATTGTTTACTTTTATCTTTTCATTGTTGTTTAGGACTGTAATTGACCAGTTTCTTGTTGGTATAAGTACATCTTGTGTAGACTGCCTCGATAATGCCTTAAGTCACAAGCATTATAAACAAAGATGAACTCAGTGGCTAGATGGATAACATGACGGCGTTTGAAGCGTACGGTACTGAGTTCAAGTCTTGTAGTGATCATCAACTCTGGGGTGCAAGTTTATCTATCTGATGGGTTCCAAGTAGGACGAAATGCGCGTCCTGTATTTCACTGCTAACCACCATTCATTTTTCTTATTAGGTGTTTTTCTATGAATTTTCTTAAATGTAATTCTGATTGAATCTAAATAAAAGCAATATTCATTGACATAATGAGCCATATTAGCGGTTACCATAACTTATCGTGTATATCTATAAAAAGCAACAATCCTTTGTTAATGATGAATAAATTTTATCATAGAAAATAGTAGAATTATAAAAGTAGACCAATGTATTTGACTTAATGATTAAATAGTTTAAAGCTTTTTGGGTTACCTGAAAATTGTATATTCAATCCTTTGCAGAGTTTAGCGTATGTACTACGGCATAGTAACCAACTTATATATAATGTATATTCAAAGTTTCCTAGCACTCTGTAGTTTCTCAGATTACGTTAATCCGTGATCCAACCTTGATTTAAACTCAAAAGTGATTACATAACTCCATTTCATTTTTAATACTTTACTCTAGTGAAAGCTGCTCCAGTTAATAAGTAAGTTAAACAGTATGAATTATGATGTATGGAATTCCAACCTCTTTAAATAAAAGATCCATTTCATGAACTAATGATGATTCTAATTTCAAAATATTTTCAAACTAAAATGTAGTATACATTCATTTTGTATTGTTTGTTTGAATCTTCTCCATTGATGTTTAGGACTGTAATTGATTAGACTCTTATCGATATATGTGTATTCTGTATTCATTACCTCGATATTACCTTAAATCAAAAGCATTATAAGCAAAGATGGATGGGATGCCGGTACATTCAGCTGAAGAGTTCCAAGTGTGGACGAAAAGAGCATCCTAGATTCCACTGTTAGTCACCATCCATCTTAAAATGTAGCATGATTAGATGAGTGATAAACGTTATTCTGTTTTACTGTTAAAGTTTCAAGCTCAACATTTATTACATTAAGTAAAATTATTAGGTTCGAAATAAACTCTGTTGAGCAATATAGATTTACATGTATTTTATACATGTAACATTGTATTGTTCATTTTCACTGTAATAGATAATTGAGAAACAGCCGGAATATATGATCAGTGAGCGTAACAGGACTAAAGATTGAAATAGTTTTGGCTTGATAGAAGGTGGTGAATATCTAGAGAAAGTTTAAAAAATAAATGAATTGGTTGGATACTGGGTCATTGGTCTAAAGGTTAAGCGTTCGTGAGCGTTTGCGGCGGGATCATGGATGCGCACTTCTGAGGAGTACCATACTAGGACGAAAAGGTCTTCTAGTACTTCCATGTATTCCATGGTGGCCTAGCTTCAATTGACTCGTGAATTCAATTATTAAATGAAACTTTATTATCTCCAGAAGATCAACTGATATATTATGTATGATTAAACAATAACAAAGTTTACTGTTTCAAAATGTTTTGAAAAAAACAGGGATCAAGATCTGACTGATGACATAAAGATTACTTTTTTAGTTGCTACTACAATATTGCATGACAATATTCATTTCAAGAAGACGGGTATCTTGTTCATTATGATAAGAAGACATATTTTCTACAGATTAGTTTGTGCATATGACCTTATAAATTACACTTTGAAAGGATCTCTATATTTGATCAAGTTGCTCCACTGATGAGTGTCATACGGTACAAACCATTCAGTATCTAATTTGTGTCCTGTTTGAAGACTGGATATAATACTAGTTCATTTAATGAAAGGGTCTGTACAAACTCAACGGACATTATTATTTAGCATGGTGTTTGAAACTCAGAGACATGTCAATGAAAGGACAGTATTGATTTGATACTGATAGAAGTTGGCATGAAATTGATTTATTGTTATTACATTGAACAGAGATAAGTTATTCAAATATCTTAACTAATTACTGGAAAGAACTTATTTTGCATAACCAATACTAGCTCAACCAATGGGTAAGTCATTGAATATAATGCTAATACTGTGCTAATCATTAATAGGTTTGATTAACACTGGTCATTTGACAGATCTTATGAATTAATATTTTGAGTCTTTCTTAAAATATACCATTCAAACTGAGCTGTTTGTAAGACAAGCAGATGGTTTTACAGTATATGTGATTGCAGATACTAGTAATCAATTAACCGTGGAGAATTCACGATGTAGTGTCAAGTTGTTTGACTGTTTTTGAAGTTATCACTAGGATTTGAATATTTTCAGATGTAAGTGAGAGTTTCGTCTACGACTGGTACTCGCATCAAAATATTTAGTTTTACATCTGTAACATTCTATGCGCTTATCATTCTTACAACTGATCAAGTTTCAAAACTGTTTCATTCATAAAAATCAATTAATTTGTTAAGGATTTAATCCTTTCTAACCATTAATGTACCATGCAAAAATACATTTTTAATCACAGAGCAAGGAAGTCTTCTTGGTATTTTCTCTACTGATACATAAATATCGGGTTTGAAGTTTGGTAACAACATAATTTCGGATAAAAGTTAGCTTTTACTTAAAAAAACTGATGTCGACGGAAGTGTTAAGAATATCCGATAGGAGTTGATCGCAGATAAACCTATATTACTGAGGACTTAAATATGAGTCTAATCTAATTGCTCATTGACTACACTCTACGAGGATCGCTTACTAAGGTAAGTGTACCACAGTCCAGCACAAATGGTTCACCCACACATATATGATTTCAATATACCGCTTTCCATTAAATACATAACCAGAGAGCAAATCTCTCTGGATTATTATGTTGGTTACATAAGATCAGATGATTAATCACTCTGAAGTTTTAGATAGGAAAATCCATTCGATCTGTTCAATATGTAGTTTAACCAACCAAAGATGCAATATTCGGTTTGAACAGCAGTATCAGAGGAACATGAATGGGATTTATGAAGCTAAAAACGATGGTAACATATACATGGAGAAATGAAATACATATATGAAAGGGTGATAGGACTTACAGAACAAATATTGAAATGAGAAAAGTTAATTGATAATGAACAATATAGACCATCGAGCTACTGGAAATATCCGGAAAATTGAAACTACAGTTTTGAGGGTTATTACTTCTTGAAAAAATTTAAAACTAAATGGATTAGCAAAAAGCAAATTTTTCGAATTGGGAGTGAGAATACAAGTAAAATTGATAAAAACGTGAGATCGAGAAACCGATGAATCTGTGGACAGTAATATACAAAGAAAAATCATGACAAATAAACATACAAAATCTATAATCACAATGAAAAAAAAACAGGAGACTTTTTTTTCGTGGAGTTTGTTCTCTGAGATCGATGGTTTGGTCGTGGAGCATTCATCGATCTTCTGAACGACCTAATCAGCACAAAATTCAGAGAACAAAATTCCACCAAAACAACCCAAATGAGCTACAAATCTCTATCAACAAAAACAGGAGACTGTATAAAAATTTGATAAACAATATTAATAAAAAAACAAAATTTCAAATAAAGAACTACTAAGGCAATTATTATGATATTATAATAAACAGTACACAAGCACCAGCTAAAACCACGTAAGTTATTCGAAACTACTTTCTAAGATTGTATAAATATCTGACGATTGTTAATTTGATCACGACAACCGGAATACAAATCTCTCCACTGATATCATTAGTGGGCGTATGACACCCGATAATATTCATTGCAATCCTCTTCTTATTTGTTTCTGGGAGGATGCTTCAATGATCCTCGATCCATGAGAATCTCGTACTACAAGCGCCTTTCGTGCTTCTTTGCACATCATCAGTGCAACTCCGTGTGTGTCGAAAGCATTTTAATTCTGACGACCAGATTACTACAGCACCCCTACCTAAGATAATCTCTATTGTTTAGCTTGCTTCCAATGTGTTTCACAAATGCCAAGTAGTGACAGATTGTATCTTCCGAATTCCACAGATACTTGAATGATCCATCCGGTCTCCCACATTGTGCGAACATTGCATGTACCTATAATAATTGGTGTCCTGGTTGTCAGGAGAGTCATTGATCTCGTGATTTCTGAACAATCGTAGCTTTCATCATCAAGCATCGTAACACATACGAGAGAAGACTATTCGACACTTAAGACAGAGCTTCAATCGTTTTAAATGATAATTTCTGGTTAGCGTTTGTTTAGCAAGTTTGATTGGTACGGGATGCTGTTACTAACCCAATCTCCAATCCTTATCTCTCATCCGAGCATGGGATTGGGAGTAAGCTTAGAAGTGATCGAGGTGAAGTTGTATTAATGATTGACTGTTGTTGATCTGATCAAAATACTTGGATGTGAATTCTTATCCATATATATGATGCTATTAATATTAACAGTCCTAAACCTGCAGCACCTTCTACGTAAGTTATTCGAAAATATTTTCTTATATTGTATAAATATCTGACGATTGTTAATTTGATCACGACACCTGAATAGAAATCTCTCCACTGATATCATTAGTGGGCGTATGACACCCGATAATATTCATTGCAATCCTCTTCTTATTTGTTTCTGGGAGGATGCTTCAATGATCCTCGATCCATGAGAATCTCGTACTACAAGCGCCTTTCGTGCTTCTTTGCACATCATCAGTGCAACTCCGTGTGTGTCGAAAGCATTTTAATTCTGACGACCAGATTACTACAGCACCCCTACCTAAGATAATCTCTATTGTTTAGCTTGCTTCCAATGTGTTTCACAAATGCCAAGTAGTGACAGATTGTATCTTCCGAATTCCACAGATACTTGAATGATCCATCCGGTCTCCCACATTGTGCGAACATTGCATGTACCTATAATAATTGGTGTCCTGGTTGTCAGGAGAGTCATTGATCTCGTGATTTCTGAACAATCGTAGCTTTCATCATCAAGCATCGTAACACATACGAGAGAAGACTATTCGACACTTAAGACAGAGCTTCAATCGTTTTAAATGATAATTTCTGGTTAGCGTTTGTTTGGCAAGGTTGATTGGTACGGGATGTTGTCACTAGACCCATCTCCAATTCTTATCTCTCATCCGAGCATGGGATTGGGAGTAAGCTTAGAAGTGATCGAGGTGAAGTTGTATTAATGATTGACTGTTGTTGATCTGATCAAAATACTTGGATGTGAATTCTTATCCATATATATGATGCTATTAATATTAACAGTCCTAAACCTGCAGCACCTTCTACGTAAGTTATTCGAAAATATTTTCTTAGATTGTATAAATATCTGACGATTGTTAATTTGATCACGACACCTGAATAGAAATCTCTCCACTGATATCATTAGTGGGCGTATGACACCGGATGATATTCATTGCAATCCTCTTCTTATTTGTTTAGTAGGGTGCTTCGATGATCCTCGATCCATGAGAATCTCGTACTACAAGCGCCTTTCGTGCTTCTTTGCACATCATCAGTGCAACTCCGTGTGTGTCGAAAGCATTTTAATTCTGACGACCAGATTACTACAGCACCCCTACCTAAGATAATCTCTATTGTTTAGCTTGCTTCCAATGTGTTTCACAAATGCCAAATACTGTCAGTTTGGATCTTCCGAATTCCACAGATACTTGAATGACCAGTTAGATCTCCCACATTGTGCGAACATTGCATGTACCTATAATAATTGGTGTCCTGGTTGTCAGGAGAGTCATTGATCTCGTGATTTCTGAACAATCGTAGCTTTCATCATCAAGCATCGTAACACATACGAGAGAAGACTATTCGACACTTAAGACAGAGCTTCAATCGGTTTAAATGATAATTTCTGGTTAGCGTTTGTTTGGCAAGGTTGATTGGTACGGGATGTTGTCACTAGACCCATCTCCAATTCTTATCTCTCATCCGAGCATGGGATTGGGAGTAAGCTTAGAAGTGATCGAGGTGGAGTTGTATTAATAAATGACTGTTGTTGATCTGATCGAAATACTTGAATGTGAATTCTTATCCACATATATGATGCTATTGTTATTAACAGTCCTAAAGCTCCAGCACCTACTACGTGAGTTATTCGAAACTACTTTCTTAGATTGTATAAATATCTGACGATTGTTTATTCGCGCTTGACTTCTTACTGGAAATATTTCTCTAGAGATTTACTTTTGCTATTCACGTCTTTTATAATCCATCTTCACCTGTTAAGTATATTTTTTGTTTATCGAATTCCTGATATTCTTTAATTGTGACAATCTTTAATAAATCATCGGAATTAACTTTGCAACTGAATTATCACACTCACTTAATCCATGTATTTTAAAATTACACAAGGATAAATGAATAACATATGAGGAATTTCAAGACTTTTTAATATTCTTACAAACTGTCTAACAGGACTTCGTGCATGAGGTAATATAATCGGAGATAAATGAGTTCGTTTGTCAAGCTTCAATCTACTGGTTCATAATCGATCTACAGTATTGAAATGCATTAATCCTATTGGTTTTAATTGGACTTAAATCATATTATTTATGTTGAGTACTGTGTGTATTAGTTTGGTTTTCGTAGTGTAAAATGACTCATTGCTTAGTAGTTGTTCCGTCTTCTGATATCTAGTCATTGTAAGTTTAGGTTAATTGTTGAAATTAGACTATACTTTCGATCGTTCATCCGATAAAATGATACAGCTTGATCTACATTACATAATGATATTCAAATACCAATTTCTAATTAGATTTATGATTATAATATACTTGACAGCGCCAAACCTCAACAACATCCAACGTAAGTTGTTTGTATTAAACCATTCTACTGTTTTGTTTGGTCTGTTTTTGTGAAAGCTTTGAAATCGCCTCTATTGAACCAATTACGTTGTTCAGTTTTCAATGTTTACTAAGTATAGCATCAATGCAAGGAAAAGTTATCGTGTCAATTTCTATGTTTAGCCCACATAGCTTATTCTAGCTTCTGGACAGGCCAATTTATCCATTCTTCTTGAGTCACGTTCTGATCTTGTTAATTATTCACTCATCAACCTTGACTGTTTTTATATGAGCGTGTGTGTACACTTTTCTTACTATTGATCACATGTCTGTAACTTGTTTTTATGTGACCATAAATACTTATTAACTCTTAATCGAAATGTGGTTGGCTCACACGCCTTCTCCACCACGCATCACTTCGCTTCGCTCTCTTCTATTCGCTCCATACATCTGATTGTCTTTCCAGATCAGTGAGTGTACGAAATATACGTATTCAAACATCCATTCTTGTATTTGACTTATTTAATTCCGTTATTCACTAACGCGATTTAAGTCGATAATTATATACGGGGATTGACGATATGTATATTGTAATAACAATCAGCAAGCAATCATATGATCTTATTGGAGTCAGATCTCGGGCCACAAAAAGGCAAACTAATAACAGATTGTACACTATTTTGTATGCTCGTTCATTTTATGTATATTTCAGTAGAGTATAACTGATATTAGTCACCGAAAAGTTTTGTATAAATGAACTATCTCACTAACCAATAATCTAAATCTTTTGTCTGTTGACTGAAATCCATCAAAAGCTTTATATGATTGAATAATGAATTCTATGAACATATGAAAAATGAAGCTGATTCAAACATTGGTTTATTTACATAGGTGGGAAGTACATATTGCGTTTGAAAGAGATAGGGACGACTTATAGCTCAGGTGGATGCTTTCGATGTTATTTTGTTTTCTGAGTTAAGGGATTTATTTCCGAAGCTTTTTTTGTCATCCCAAACAACATCATTAATGCCTACGTCAAAGGGGGGTTTTTCAGCTAGTCAATAGGCTTTTAAGCAGTTGATCTTCATAGACTTATTTATGATTCATCGACTATAGATTTTGTGGACACGAGAATACTGTTATTATAGAAAACGTAATAGATAGCCAAATTGACATAGGTTATATTCTTCAGAACTCCGTCTATAGCTCTTCTAAAGTTACTGCCGGCCCCAAACTCGGGTAAAGGAGGAGAGTTGGGCATGTGGTCAGCGAACCCATCCCGTAAAGAAAAATCTTGCTAAAAAGCGCCGACCAGTTCAAACAAATTAAACCATTTAAACTCTGCCATGGGAGATGGAGGAAGAATTACGTCGTCTTATGGTGAAAGCCGAGATTCTTCAGAAGTCACGAGGTCAATGCCTCTTCTAACAACCAGAGCAATAATTTTCATAGGTACATGGAACGGCCGGACAATGTGGAAAACCAAGAGGACCAGTGAAATAACAACGAAAACGGGGAGATACAACGTTGCAGTACTCGGAACCAGCGAAACCCATTGAACCCAAGCTGGACAGCAAAGGCTAGATACGGGAGAGATGCTGATGTATTCCGGTTATGAAGAGGAAAATGCTCCATACAGTCAGGCAGTTGCTTTGATGTTGTCTAAAGAAGGACGAAATGCACTTACTGAGTGAGAATCTCATGGATTTAGGATCATCAAAGCATCATCCAAAGCAAAGAAGGAGGGAATCACAATAAATGTTAACCACTGTTATGCACCCACGAATTATAGAGGTGACGACGATAAAAATCGGTTCTTCAGTGGCTGCAATCAATCATAGCTATGTGCTCAGGACACGACCTGAGCATCCTGATGAGAGATCTAAACGTCGAAGTCGGAATGGACAACAACGGTCATGAAGATATCATGGGACGATATGGATTGGGAGAAAGGAACGAAACTGGGGAGAGATTTGCAAACCTATTTGCATTCAACAAATTGCTTATCGGTAGTGCAATATTTACACACAAACTCATATACAAAGCTACATGGGTCTCACCGGATCACACCACGAAGAACCAGATAGATCATAGTTGTATCACTAAAAAATTCAGAAGGAAAATAGGTGTGAGAACCAAGGGAGGAGCTGACATGGCTTCAGATCACCACCTGGTTGTTTCCAAGATCAAACTGTACTTGAAGAAACACTGAACAACTTGGTAAACAGCATTACAAAGGTTCAATACAGCCTTCCTTCGAGATGATGACAAACTTAACCAATTTAAGATAGCTCTCAACAATAGGTTCCAATCCTTTAAGGATCTACTGAAAGAAGAAATTGCTATGAAGGTGTGGTGTTTGAACGAACTAATTATACCTTTGTACTTGTTGAATGGTCGATTTTGAATTCCAAGTACAATACATTCGTTTGTGCTTGTGTCTCACTTCTTAATTCAATTGCGTTATTTCTACGACTCTTAGTTCGTGCTATATTTCAAAACATTATAGGAGGACAACTGGAAAGGTATCAAAGAAGCGTCAACTTCAACGTGTCGGATGGTACTGGGCCGCAAATAGCAGCATCATAAGGAATGGATCTCCATCGAAACCCTGAGAAAGATTCAAGAAAGGAAGAAGAAGACAGCAATTCACAGCAGTCAAATAAGAGCAGAGAAAGTCAAGACACTAGTTGAATACATTGAAGCAGACAAGCAAGTGAAGGGGAGCATTAGAGCCAACAAGCAGAAATACATGGAAGAGCTAGCGACGACGGAGGATGAAGCTGCAAGAGAAGGAAATATGAGACAGCTTTATGACACAACGAAGAAACCAGTGGGGAAATATAGTAAACCAGAGAGACCGTTCAGAGACAAGGAAGGCATGACAATCACTGTGATTCAAGAACAGATGGAAAGATGGACAGAACACTTCTAGAAACTCTTGAAAAGACCAGCTCCTTTGAATCCACCGTTATTGAAACAGCACCTACAGACCTCCATATAGATGTCACCCCACCAACGACGGGAGAAGTCAGGACGGCCAAGAGCGGAAAAGCGGCAGGACCTGACAATATACCAACTGATGCACTAAAGTCAGACATAGAAGCAACTGCAATTATGCTTGACGTCCTAGTCAGGAAGATTTGAGAGGAGAAACAAGTGCCGACAGATTGGAAAGAAGGACACCTCATCAAGATACCAAAGAATGAAGATCTTCAATACGAACGTCAAGACACTTCTACTGTACGGAGCTGAAACGTGAAGAACCACTGCAACCATAATCAAGGAGGTACAAGTATTTATAAATAGTTGTCTAGGCAAGATACTCAATATCCGTTGGCCGGATACCAGCAATAGCCTACTGTGGGAGAGATCGAACCAATTTCCAGCTGATTAGTAAGTCAGGAAAAAACGTTGGAAGTGGATAGAACATATATTGAGGAAATCACCAAACTGCATCACGAGGCAAGCCCTAACTTGGAATCCTGAAAAAAATGAAAAAGGGCAAGGTCAGCGAACACACTGCGTTGAGAACTGGAAGCAGACATGAAAGGGATGAATAGCAACTGGAATCAACTGTAAGTGACTGCACAGGACAGAGTTGGATGGAGAATGCTGGTGGGCGGCATATGCTCCCTCACGAGGAGTAACAGACGTAAGCAAATAAGTTATTAAATACTTCAGGCTTCGATGAATCATTTAAAAAACTGTCACTTGCAATTACAATCAGAAGCGAAAAGCTCTTTTGAGGTCATTAAAAAATAAACATCTTATAGATATGTACTGGAGATGTCACAGGCATTTGGGGTTTGACAACGCTTTAACCACTGGTTATCCAAGCAGTGTACATTAAATGTCACTTTTGTAAAATCAAAACTATCCATAATAAAAACAGTTTATTAAACAAAATATGCATTTTATTTCCGAATTTCCAACACAATCATTTCATTCCGGTTTACAGATAAAAAGATACGTTTTTATCAGTATAGGAGTCGTAGGGATTATTGAATGTTATCCAGATCACAAATTGGTCGAAGTTAGACATTCATTAAGAACCTGGAAGCACAGAAAAATCATCTCACCTGAATATGGAATTACTCCACATTGCTCATTCACGACACACCACCTGAATTGAACCCAGAGCCGATTATTTCACACGTGGATAATTACAGAGCCGAAATCCTAATTTACTGACACAATGAAGTCATATGAAAGAGATTAGATTCCGGTTAACACTGAATTATTTGTCATTTAGATATGTTTTCGTCAGATGTCAGTTAAATAATATAAACCAAATATAATTTCCTATTAAAATTAATGAATTTTATAATCCTAAAAAGATCGAAACCTGCAGGTCCTCCGTAAGTTACCGTTACATATTAAGTGTTTGGAGTTAATATTTGATAATGATATTAGAAGACGAAGATTATCAGAACTATGTGATATATTAGCGCAATACATTTCGAACAATCTGGTCACACATATACTTGTTAAGAGCATTTATATATAAAAATAAAAGGTCAACTAGACAGGAAACGGGGTAAGAGGAGATAGGGATAATGATAAGAGTAATAATAATAATAATGTGAACACAATTTGAAACCTAATCACTCTGGATAATAAGTCAATATTACCAGGGTAGGTTTAAGGTAAGAACAAACTGTTTTTGAACACATAAAGGGGGTTTGAATTTTCGTATGGCTAAGGCTTCAATGAACCTTAGTATACGCCCTTTATGTGTTCAAAAACAGTTTGTTCTTACCTTAAACCTACCCTGGTAATATTGACTTATTATCCAGAGTGATTAGGTTTCAAATTGTGTTCACATTATTATTATTATTACTCTTATCATTATCCCTATCTCCTCTTACCCCGTTTCCTGTCTAGTTGACCTTTTATTTTTATATATAAATGCTCTTAACAAGTATATGTGTGACCAGATTGTTCGAAATGTATTGCGCTAATATATCACATAGTTCTGATAATCTTCGTCTTCTAATATCATTATCGAAATTTATCAAAGGGACTAATTGTTTTAAGTTAATATTTGAGTATTTCAACCTTGAATATTGAAACCTATAACATTTATGATGCTGTCAATTCAACAGTGCTAAAAATGAGCCACCCAGTCCGTAAGTTTTTAAAATATATTTTCGTAGTCTGTATATATATATAACGAATGATCATTCGAACATGACACATGAATACAGATGTTTCCAATGTGATTCTCGTCCTACAAACGATTGTTAATTTGATCACGACAACTGGAATACAAATCTCTCCACTGATATCATTAGTGGGCGTATGACACCCGATAATATTCATTGCAATCCTCTTCTTATTTGTTTCTGGGAGGATGCTTCGATGATCCTCGATCCATGAGAATCTCGTACTACAAGCGTTTTTCGTGCTTCTTTGCACATCATCAGTGCAACTCCGTGTGTGTCGATGGCATTTTATTTCTGATGACCAGATTACTACAACACCCCTACCGAAGATAATCTCTATTGTTTAGATTGCTTCCAATGTGTTTCACAAATGCCAAATACTGTCAGTTTGGATCTTCCGAATTCCACAGATACTTGAATGACCAGTTAGATCTCCCACATTGTGCGAACATTGCATGTACCTATAATAATTGGTGTCCTGGTTGTCAGGAGAGTCATTGATCTCGTGATTTCTGAACAATCGTAGCTTTCATCATCAAGCATCGTAACACATACGAGAGAAGACTATTCGACACTTAAGACAGAGCTTCAATCGTTTTAAATGATAATTTCTGGTTAGCGTTTGTTTAGCAAGTTTGATTGGTACGGGATGCTGTTACTAACCCAATCTCCAATCCTTATCTCTCATCCGAGCATGGGATTGGGAGTAAGCTTAGAAGTGATCGAGGTGAAGTTGTATTAATGATTGACTGTTGTTGATCTGATCAAAATACTTGGATGTGAATTCTTATCCATATATATGATGCTATTAATATTAACAGTCCTAAACCTGCAGCACCTTCTACGTAAGTTATTCGAAAATATTTTCTTAGATTGTATAAATATCTGACGATTGTTAATTTGATCACGACAACTGGAATACAAATCTCTCCACTGATATCATTAGTGGGCGTATGACACCCGATAATATTCATTGCAATCCTCTTCTTATTTGTTTCTGGGAGGATGCTTCAATGATCCTCGATCCATGAGAATCTCGTACTACAAGCGCCTTTCGTGCTTCTTTGCACATCATCAGTGCAACTCCGTGTGTGTCGATGGCATTTTATTTCTGATGACCAGATTACTACAGCACCCCTACCTAAGATAATCTCTATTGTTTAGCTTGCTTCCAATGTGTTTCACAAATGCCAAGTAGTGACAGATTGTATCTTCCGAATTCCACAGATACTTGAATGATCCATCCGGTCTCCCACATTGTGCGAACATTGCATGTACTTATATTAATTGATGTCCTGGTTGTCAGGAGAGCCATTGATCTCGTGATTTCTTAACAATCGTAGCTTTCATCATCAAGCTTCGTAACACAAACGAGAGAAGACTATTCGACACCTAAGACAGAGCTTCAATCGGTTTAAATGATAATTTCTGGTTAGCGTTTGTTTGGCAAGGTTGATTGGTACGGGATGTTGTCACTAGACCCATCTCCAATTCTTATCTCTCATCCGAGCATGGGATTGGGAGTAAGCTTAGAAGTGATCGAGGTGGAGTTGTATTAATAAATGACTGTTGTTGATCTGATCGAAATACTTGAATGTGAATTCTTATCCACATATATGATGCTATTGTTATTAACAGTCCTAAAGCTCCAGCACCTACTACGTGAGTTATTCGAAACTACTTTCTTAGATTGTATAAATATCTGACGATTGTTTATTCGCGCTTGACTTCTTACTGGAAATATTTCTCTAGAGATTTACTTTTGCTATTCACGTCTTTTATAATCCATCTTCACCTGTTAAGTATATTTTTTGTTTATCGAATTCCTGATATTCTTTAATTGTGACAATCTTTAATAAATCATCGGAATTAACTTTGCAACTGAATTATCACACTCACTTAATCCATGTATTTTAAAATTACACAAGGATAAATGAATAACATATGAGGAATTTCAAGACTTTTTAATATTCTTACAAACTGTCTAACAGGACTTCGTGCATGAGGTAATATAATCGGAGATAAATGAGTTCGTTTGTCAAGCTTCAATCTACTGGTTCATAATCGATCTACAGTATTGAAATGCATTAATCCTATTGGTTTTAATTGGACTTAAATCATATTATTTATGTTGAGTACTGTGTGTATTAGTTTGGTTTTCGTAGTGTAAAATGACTCATTGCTTAGTAGTTGTTCCGTCTTCTGATATCTAGTCATTGTAAGTTTAGGTTAATTGTTGAAATTAGACTATACTTTCGATCGTTCATCCGATAAAATGATACAGCTTGATCTACATTACATAATGATATTCAAATACCAATTTCTAATTAGATTTATGATTATAATATACTTGACAGAGCCAAACCTCAACCAAATTTACCGTAAGTTGTTTATATTAAACCATTCTACTGTTTTGTTTGATCTGTTTTGTGAAAGTTTTGAAATCGCCTCTATTGAACCTATTACATTGTTCAGTTTTCAATGTTTACTAAGTATATCGTGAATAAGAGGAAAAGTTATAAGGGCAATTTCTATGTTAAGTCCACATAGCTTATTTTAGCTTCTGGACAGGCCAATTTATCCATTCTTCTTGAGTCACGTTCTGATCTTGTTAATTATTCACTTATCAACCTTGACTGTTTTTACATGAGAGTGTGTGTACACTTTTCTTACTATTGATCACATGTCTGTAACTTGTTTTTATGTGACCATAAATACTTATTAACTCTTAATCGAAATGTGGTTGGCTCACACGCCTTCTCCACCACGCATCACTTCGCTTCGCTCTCTTCTATTCGCTCCATACATCTGATTGTCTTTCCAGATCAGTGAGTGTACGAAATATACGTATTCAAACATCCATTCTTGTATTTGACTTATTTAATTCCGTTATTCACTAACGCGATTTAAGTCGATAATTATATACGGGGATTGACGATATGTATATTGTAATAACAATCAGCAAGCAATCATATGATCTTATTGGAGTCAGATCTCGGGCCACAAAAAGGCAAACTAATAACAGATTGTACACTATTTTGTATGCTCGTTCATTTTATGTATATTTCAGTAGAGTATAACTGATATTAGTCACCGAAAAGTTTTGTATAAATGAACTATCTCACTAACCAATAATCTAAATCTTTTGTCTGTTGACTGAAATCCATCAAAAGCTTTATATGATTGAATAATGAATTCTATGAACATATGAAAAATGAAGCTGATTCAAACATTGGTTTATTTACATAGGTGGGAAGTACATATTGCGTTTGAAAGAGATAGGGACGACTTATAGCTCAGGTGGATGCTTTCGATGTTATTTTGTTTTCTGAGTTAAGGGATTTATTTCCGAAGCTTTTTTTGTCATCCCAAACAACATCATTAATGCCTACGTCAAAGGGGGGTTTTTCAGCTAGTCAATAGGCTTTTAAGCAGTTGATCTTCATAGACTTATTTATGATTCATCGACTATAGATTTTGTGGACACGAGAATACTGTTATTATAGAAAACGTAATAGATAGCCAAATTGACATAGGTTATATTCTTCAGAACTCCGTCTATAGCTCTTCTAAAGTTACTGCCGGCCCCAAACTCGGGTAAAGGAGGAGAGTTGGGCATGTGGTCAGCGAACCCATCCCGTAAAGAAAAATCTTGCTAAAAAGCGCCGACCAGTTCAAACAAATTAAACCATTTAAACTCTGCCATGGGAGATGGAGGAAGAATTACGTCGTCTTATGGTGAAAGCCGAGATTCTTCAGAAGTCACGAGGTCAATGCCTCTTCTAACAACCAGAGCAATAATTTTCATAGGTACATGGAACGGCCGGACAATGTGGAAAACCAAGAGGACCAGTGAAATAACAACGAAAACGGGGAGATACAACGTTGCAGTACTCGGAACCAGCGAAACCCATTGAACCCAAGCTGGACAGCAAAGGCTAGATACGGGAGAGATGCTGCTGTACTCCGGTCATGATGAGGAAAATGCTCCATACAGTCAGGCAGTTGCTTTGATGTTGTCTAAAGAAGGACGAAATGCACTTACTGAGTGAGAATCTCATGGATTTAGGATCATCAAAGCATCATCCAAAGCAAAGAAGGAGGGAATCACAATAAATGTTAACCACTGTTATGCACCCACGAATTATAGAGGTGACGACGATAAAAATCGGTTCTTCAGTGGCTGCAATCAATCATAGCTATGTGCTCAGGACACGACCTGAGCATCCTGATGAGAGATCTAAACGTCGAAGTCGGAATGGACAACAACGGTCATGAAGATATCATGGGACGATATGGATTGGGAGAAAGGAACGAAAATGGGGAGAGATTTGCAAACCTATTTGCATTCAACAAATTGCTTATCGGTAGTGCAATATTTACACACAAACGCATACACAAAGCTACATGGGTCTCACCGGATCACACCACGAAGAACCAGATAGATCATATTTGAATCACTAAAAAATTCAGAAGGAAAATAGAAGGCGTCAGGACCAAGGGAGGAGCTGACATGGCTTCAGATCACCACCTGGTTGTTGCCAAGATCAAACTGTACTTGAAGAAACACTGGACAGCTTGGTAAACAGCATTACAAAGGTTCAATACAGTCTTCCTTCAAGATGATGACAAACTCAACCAATTTAAGATGACTCTCTACAACAGGTTCCACACCTTTCAGGATCTACTGAAAGAAGAAATTACTATGGAACGAACTAATTATACCTTTGTACTTGTTGAATGGTCGATTTTGAATTCCAAGTACAATACATTCGTTTGTGCTTGTGTCTCACTTCTTAATTCAATTGCGTTATTTCTACGACTCTTAGTTCGTGCTATATTTCAAAACATTATAGGAGGACAACTGGAAAGGTATCAATGAAGCATTAACTTCAACGTGTCGAGTGGTACTGGGCCGCAAATAGCATCATCGTAAGGAATGGATCTCCATCGAATCCCTGAGA